TTGCTACAGAAATCATCTTTTAATGCATTGTGCATCTGCTTCAACTTCAACACTGCATCTTTGGGCTTTACTGTGCTGTTAGTTTAACAAAATATTAAAACTAATGATTTCTTTGTGTGTTTCCAATTCCCCGTTTTGAAAATAATGATACTATTGTGATAATTGTTTTTATGTTTTGACGAATTGATGAATCTCTGATTCTGCTGGTATGTCATATCAATTGGGATATCTTCGAATAAGTTCTTTCCTCATCCAACTTGAACCCATGGTTTAACGTAATTGTCACACTTAAAGCATCACATTCACATCTAGAACATTTCAAGCATGTTTTATCACTACATTGTTTTACTTTACATTTACAAGTTAACTTCACCTATTTGGCTCTCATGGTCTCGGGCCAAGTCACAGGTCTGGTCCAGCAATGCAGACCTTGAAAATAGTGCCAAGTGTCTTCTTTTTGTCTAATCCAACCAACCCAACCCTTTCTGGAATGCCTTTTTTTATCCACATTAAGATGCCTGGCTGGCTCATGTGACAGGTGTTAATAATAAATCAGGCAAAAAAAGAATCAGAAATGAAAAACCTAATTTTCAGGATTATTCAAAATAATAGTGTTACGTCTCCGTTTGTTAATTAACTTTCCGTAACTTCGTTCTGACGAAACTTTAGCGACACAAGTCCTTACTTAATAAAACTGGTTTATTCTTTCCGAATATAACTTTACGATACACTTAATTTCAACAATCGCGCTAAAACAAACGCTATATCAACGAACATCAACAATACTTCTGACTGCAGTTCAATTACTCACTATCTACACACACATTCTTCTTCCCGTCACGTTGTCACCCTCTTTTATATACCAGACTACCCTATATCTAGTAAATGCTAGAGCATTCGCCAAGGTACAGGATAGTTCTAGAAACGTGGCGTGACACTAATCATGTGACCTCGCTGACGCAACAATATATTAAAAACAGAACACGAAAAATCGTAAAAAAAAAGAAAAACAGAACTCTTACAGCATTTCGGGTGCACTGTTTCCAAATACTGCGTGACTTCTTCGTATTATGCGAGAGTATATAAAAGCTTAATTTCAAATAGTTCCTCCTGAACAAAAATTAACCCCCAATTTAACCCGTATTTAGGCCTTATTGCAGAGATTATATTTTTTTTTTCCAGACTTTCAATATATCATTACTAAGCAACACAAACACGAAAATATGCATGGATACTAAAATGATATTTTGAAGGAAATGTATTTCTTGTTCTTGGAACAGACATTAACAATTGAAGATTGTCTTCTTGCTGTGGTTGGGAAAAGGAACAATATTTATTTGAATATGAACAAATTACTTACAGTGGATATTATTTAAACAGTGATTGCCCCTCTACAGAAAAAAAATAGTTTGAAATAACGAAGGTAGATATAAGAATTAAAACAAGATGTTTTGAATGATTTTATAATGATGACTGTTTATATTTTTTATATTAAAAATGCCCTCTAGTGGCACAGCGGCAAGTCTGAAGGCTTATACAACTAAAATCCCGGTTTTTATACTTGTGGTTGGCACAGCACAGGTAGTTCATTGTGTAACTTTGTGCTTAACTACAATCAAATAAACAAATATATTAAAAGTATTATTGTCAATTCTCACAAGGATTATTCTATTGCTTTAGATATAAATATATATATTTATTATAAGAAAAATTAAGAATGTCTATAAGTCTGAATGCTTATAATGCTGAAAACCGGGTTTCGATACACGTGGCGGGCAAAGCATAGACAGCCCATTGTGTAACTTTGTGCTTAACTACAAACAAACAAGCTTTTTTTTCTTACAATCGCAGTTTAAATTGGATACTGCCGAGTTACGACCGAAAATAGCATTAACAACAAGGTTGCCCAATTGTTGAAACAATATAAAAAAGGGTATATTTAATCAGCTATACTTATTACCTGGTTAATTTTGATATAAGTAAGTAGCTTGCTGTGATCGGAAGTTAATTATATAAAGATTGAGATCTAAAGTAAAAAAAAGAAAATAAAAGAAAATGTTAATAAATGTTCTAAGTAATAATGTAAACAAATGAAGGAGTCCATTGTTTAATAAATGACCGACAATTGCCAAAAAGCGTTTTAACTGTGATAAAAGTTCTATACTAGCCAGTGTAATCTGATCAAAAACACCTTAGATGTGGATAAAATGTGCGGCCAAAAAAAAAAAAAGATTGAGCGTGCGACTTAAAGAAATTAAATAAAAAATGCGGCCTAGCTAACTAATGAATGAATATTTGCTGTAAAAGTCTTATCATCAATGCTATAAGTATAACTACCAGTTTTGCTGTTAATTTTGATTTCATTCCTTTAAATCCTTTCTTGGCCGCACCCTTTTTTCACACCTAAGGTGTTTTTGATTAGATATCATGACTTTTTGTCAATATACACCAACAAATCACAGCAAGTAAGAAAATGACACTCGATAGTAATCAACATCAGCTTTAAGATCGCAACCCTGTTATCCGGAACAAACCTTTACAGAACTAACCAAATCAGTTTCTTTAAAATATATGGTGGTAGTTTTCCTCTCTAAAACAGTGTTAATAATTTCCTTTATAGTCATGCCATGTAAAACTAGGTTACCGATTCTGGTCATCACCCGCATGTAATCGGTAAAGCCGTATCAAGCATCATTATTTATGCTAATTGCTTAAGCTAATATCACGTGACGCTAAACGCTCTTTTAATTAGGAGAATTTCATAAAATTTAGTAAATTTGTGCTTAAAAATTGGCAATGAATAATCAGTAATAACCGTTCACCCGTATGATTCTTTTGAAAACTTTAGCTAGAAACTGCTAATCTAGTTTGCTTGGCCTAACCAATACTTATGTATCTGCACGTGCTTTCACCCTATAGTTTTGCTGATTTAAATCAGCCATCGTTAATCCTAATGACAAAAACTAAAAACGGTCCACCTTTAGATGAAGCTGTAGTGAAAATTGCAGACCGATAGCCCACGTGACTTTTTGCGAAAGCGTGCGCAAAAATTATGGTCAAAGTTCAGCCCAGTGGTTCTTCTGATGATATTCAATCCCATATTATATACGACCACTGTAAGATATTTAAAATTAAAACTTTTTGGAACCAGGGGCCCGTGTCATACATAGTTCAACTCGTGAAAGGCTCACCCGTGGACAGGGCTAGCGCGATAGTCTTTAAGTCTCTCTACCAGTCAACAATAGAGGTCCATCACCCCTCCCATCTAGCCTCCCCCATATAGTACACAAAACAATCGGAAATTATATTATATATATATAAATGATCACTAATTATAAAAGGCTTATTCCCTTTGTCACTCTGTCGAGAACATTTTAACCCTGCTTTTTTTTTTTTTTGTAATGCTCAACAATATACATCGTCGCTTAGCAAAAATACTATCACCTGATTGTTCTTAAGCCAACTATGGTGTTTATGTTCAATGCTCT